CCCTCCTCCTCAAGAGCTGCGCTCTAATTCGGTGTTACAGGGAGTTGTAAACGGCTTTCACTTTTTTCCCTCGTCACACTTCTTTCACAAGCGAGCGTCACTATGACTGAGGATGACTCGTCCGTCAAACTTTTTGTTCAACGTTGCACCAGTGGAACGAGGTTACCTGTCATGCAAATAAGGCCCGAGTTGTGTGCAAGCCATCCGAACAACAGCGGTAACGCATAGGGACCAGTCACGGGACAACGGGAGGAAAAAACGTGGCCCTGACCCGTGGCATGGAACCTGTGCTAAATTTATTATGTGCGAGTTACGAAAATTATGAAAACAACATTCATGACTACAACCACTTCCACTTGAAATGTTCTCATTGGATTTTTTGATTACTTGACAAGAAATATAATTAAACGTGGGTCCAAAAGGAACCATTGATTTTCATTTTCTCTTTGTGTAACGTTTTTATTGCGGCTCATAGTTTTATTTAGTTCGCCAATTTTTACAAGCATAATAGGATGGCTCTCAGCACTAGTCTGAGTAAATACACGTAAATCTAAGAAATAATAGGTTCCGGCCAGTGGCGGATCCAAGGGGGGGGGGGGGGGGGCGGTGGGGGCGATCGCCCCCCCCCCCCCAAACGCCTCGCCAGGCAAGCCCCCCCCCCCCCCCCCCCCCCGGGGGGGTTCTTCGTCAACTCGAAGAAAAAACGTAAGCAATCGACGCGAGGGACAAAAGATTACAACAGCGGTGGGCGGACGCGCCTGCTGGGCGCTTCCACAGCGGGGTTTACCTCCGTCAAGATCACGGTACGTCTTCCCGACAGGGACGGCGCCAGGAGTTTCGAAGTGGAGAGTCAGTGGGGAGGCGCACCAAATATCAGGGTCCTCGACTGCAGGCACACTTCCAAACAAGGCCAGCACGTCGAGCACGGGGGGAAAATACCTTCAACATATATAGTCCACTTTCTCTCTCTCTCTCGCTCTGTCTCCCTCTCTCTCTCTTTGGAGGTTGTCTGCAAAAAAAATGAACTACAAAATTCCTTGTGTTATGGTGTTCAGAAAGGATAGTGCCACCATAATTTTCTAGATACTTACCTCTAGCGTGGTCACCCGAAAGGTTTTAATTAAAAGAGTTCATCCCCGACAGGTAAACCGATACTAAAGCTATCAAGATCTGTATTATGTTATCAGAGTTTAGTAAAAACGATAACTGCACAAAAAATATAAACACTCCCCCCCCCCCCCCCCCGCCGTTTTACACCGAGGAACCGCCCCCCCTAAAATGGAGGTCTGGATCCGCCCCTGGTTCCGGCAATCCAATTAAGTAAGGTATGGAAATCACTGCTTGGGAGAAGAGCGTGTTGGTTTAAGTCATGGATGAAGAAAGAATAAAACAATTAAAACAGGGACAACACAACCACATCTTTCATGAAACATGTGGTTGTTTTGTCCCTGTGTTAATTGTTTTATTCTTTCTTCATCCATGACTTATGGAAATCATATTGGCTTAAATAGTCTCCAGGAAGAGTCATAAAACGATTACGGCTTTGCTCTTCTTGTTAGTCAACTCGGGGAGGAATGGTGAAGTCCCCGAAGTCGAAAAAAAGAAATAAAAAAAAAAAGGATGCGCGTTGCGACTGAACACATTGCGACTTTTCTTTGACTCGTACGGTCACGTTTTCTTTCAAACTTGAAACATAGCAACTTTGACATAACTTGAACAAGAAAGAAAAACCAAGCAAGAAAGGCACCCAAAAAGAGGGATCATTTCTAAAATTCGCTAAAAGTTAAAATAAATAAATCCCGAACTGAACATTGTTGATTTCAACTTTCAGGTCATTTTATTAGTTAGATGAAGCATACAATTTTGGACGTTATGTATATAAAAAAAAAAAAAAAAAAAGACAAAGATTCGCGAAAAAAAAAAAAGGCTCGAGGTACGCCTAAGCACTTCTTATAAGTTGTGAATGCGAAAGCACGCACGCCACTCTTCGCTTCCTTAGGGAGTTTTCGTGTATCGTTTTCGCCGTCCCGCAGCGCTCTCCGCAACCCGCTACGCTACCCGGAACTGTACAGCCAAGCCTATCGGCGCGCAGGCGCAGTAGCGGCTTCATCGTTGCGGAGGGCTTAGCGGAGAGGGAAACGCGATCTACGAAAACTCCCTCAATTCTTTCGTCTACGGCAGGGGTCTCAAACACGCGGCCCGCGGGCCGCATGCGGCCCGCGACTATTTGGGATGTGACCCGCAAGCCTCCCGCGGATTCGAACATAAATTCCCATGCCTCGAGCGCCATTAAATATAGTTTTATATTGTCGATTCATTTTCAACCGAAAAAGAGCTCTGCAGCCTGCAGCTTCTGCTTATATAACGTGTTCACACATTTTGTACTAATCTGTTGTGTGTGTGTGTGTGTGTGTGTGTGTGTGTGTGTGTGTGTGTGTGTGTGTGTGTGTGTGTGTGTGTGTGTGTGTGTGTGTGTGTGTGTTTTCTTTTTTAAACGGAGTACTACTTTCGCTTAAATATTTGCTTCTTGGCCTTTTCTCATGTAAATCAACCGGAACGGCACTACCACAACTAGGCCACAAGTGCTCAGGGAGGCACATCGGCTGCACGGACTGTTGCTTAGCAGGAGCAACTGCCGAAGATAAAGCTATGAGCTCGGGCTTCTATCTGACAAAAACAAAAACGTTTAAAATACGAGTATTTTTTTCCTTGGAAAGAAAAAAATTGCCATATGAAGATATATCCTTTTTATGCCCGTTGAGACTAGTGCATTATGCGACGGGTCAAGGGCGGTGTGCTTGTTCTCGATTTAATGAAAACTGCCGGTACCTGAAAACTGCTTGCCTGGCGAGGCGTTTGGGGGGGGGGGGGGCGATCGCCCCTACCGCCCCCCCCCCCCCCCCCCCCCTTGTATCCGCCACTGGACACAGCTCACGCTCTTCTAGCCACAGAGGCCATATATGGGTATGTTGATGAACATTACCCAGTCTTTTCTGAAATAAAGTTTGTATCAGACGGAGTGGCGGCGCATTTCAAGATTCGCTTCCAATTGCACGAATTGTCTCGGAAGCCGTACTCTTCGGCAAGGTGGATCTTTTCAGCAACTGGACACGGAGAAAGCGCTTGTGATGGAGTAGGTAGTGCGCAACGCTCACCAACTTGAGATCTTCGCTCAACTCAACGATTGTCACGGCTAAAGACTTTGTGGAAGTGCTGTGTGAAAAAGTAACAAGTAAGCATGTTCCACCTATCTGCGGAGTGGGTTCGAGAGTTTCGTACGGTGAAGGAAGCCGAGGGAACGACCATAAAACCTGTGAAAGGAATCCAGGCATCTCATCTGTGGAAGTCATCATATGCCGAGAGGCCACATGCATACATGACCTTTTGTGCAATTAAGAGTTTTAAGCTTATGTATGCATAGTTTGCGAATTTGCAGAGTGTGGCCGTTTTGTTTTTGTGAATTGTAAACTAAGGAATGGTATTCCAGCTCCCAGTCCCTTTTCGAGTCATTTAACTCACCCCTTTTGAAAAATATAATTTGAGAAATATAAAATACATGCCATAACTAAAGGCTCGTTCACACAGACCCGTTTTGTTTAGGTTACGTTACGAAAAGTCACCGGGAAATCTGTGCTTCGTATTAAGCGTGGCTACCAATTCAAAGAGATAGCCTGGCACGCGACATTCGAGACACGAATGTTTCGGTGACTTCGACGTAACGTAAAGAAAACGGTGCTGTGTGAAAAGTTGAACCGTGCTCAACTCCTTACGTTACGTTACGACGAGCCTTGTGTCCTTGGTTGCCACGTTAACTCACCGTCCTAGCTCGTCGTCACCGAAACATTCGTGTCTCGAATGTCGCGTGCCAGGCTATCTCCTTGAATCGGTAGCCACGCTTAATACGAAGCACAGATTTCCCGGTGACTTTTCGTAACGTAACGCAAGAAAACGGGTCTGTGTGAACGAGAAATGTTTGGTGCTGCGCGGCAAAGCCGCTGACGTCGGCGCGCTTCGAGTGGAGGTTTGTCGTAGCTTTTTCCGTTTGGAAGTCAAATGTTACTCAATATTTTGCCATCACAAGTTAGTTCAAGTTACCGCAAAGTGCCAAGGGGAGTTAAAAAAAATAAATAAAAGATGACGTTTTTATGAATATCGACGCCCCATTTTGCCACGTTCCGAGAAATCAGCTGCAGTTATTTTTATATATTAGAAAAAAAAAATATTTAAAGACGCACATTTTGATATGTTTTGTTAAGTATTATGAAAGACGGTTTATTTACAAAAAACAAAAAAATTGTGAATATTTCTCTAAAACGTGTGTTTGATTTTTTTGTTTGCATAGAAATGTTTTATTGATATTTTAAATTTTTTGTGTATGTGTTGCATATCTTTTTGTAAAATGTATTACAAAAGTTATGGTGACGTGAAAGCTTCGATGAGAAAATGACGATTGTGCAAAAGAGCATCGTGAAATCCTCTCAATTTCCACGCTTCGAACTTCTTTATTTTATATCTCAGCGAAAAAAAAAATTGTTACGGCGTTCATATAGAGCGAATGTTCCTCCCAAGAACATGGTTTTCATATATATTTTTAAGAACAGTATCAAAATTATGACCGGGACCATCATTGCACAAAGTGACGTGGAATCACCCTCTGGAGACTTTTCATTATTAGCCCCACCACTGATTCCAACTAAGTATTCTTAATCCTAAATTTAGATTGTACTACGTAAATGTACTACAAGGTGCACCACTCGCTGACGGTAACTCTGTCAAATGGCAACGACATTTCAAGATCCCTCCTCGAGGTCATTCTTGAGAAAAACTAATATTTTTTTTTTCGGTTAATATCGGTTACCGGTAAATAGTTTACGGTTACGGTTTTAATAAATCTCAAATAACGGTTTCGTTCCGGTTACTGTTACTGAAAAAATGTTGTTCCTAAACGGTTTTCGGTTTCGGTTACGGTTTAAGTTCCTGTTCGTTGGGTCACTATCATCATCATCATCACCATAATAAACCGGGATGATTACCGCCGTTCCGCTGGTTCCGCCGTGGCTGCCGCGAGTCGTTTTTTCAAGCGTACCACTGCTGGTTTAAAAAGTCAGTCGTCGAGCCCTCCGATCACGCAAGCTCACGTCGCACGATTGCTGAACACATCTTGGACACTTCCCGTGATTCGGCTGGTTCTCGAAAATTCAACCGCCTCAGCCGTCTCGCGCTGAATGTCCTGCTACCACGGAGCGGAGAAACCACCTTCTGACACTACACTGGTTTCCAACTGCTGCTAACAATGACCTCGACATTGCTGTGCACTGCAACGTTTAAACAAACGCGTCCTATCGATGCAAACGCGGCAGTGTAACCACCAGAAGTCGAAATGCCGTCCAAACAGCAGCTTGAAAAAGCTGCATGGCAATGGGTGGAAAGTGTGGATCCCTTGAACATTACGCGGGAACATGTCGAGGCCGCTTACAGAATCAAGTGCGCTACCTGCAAAGCGAACACTTGTCGGTGAGTCTGATGGTGCTTCAACTTTAGCACGAGCGCGTCTCGTGCTTTCTAACATAACACGACCGGCAACTTCTCTGCAAGTGTACTGACCGATTCCGGCGCTTCGCTGACAAGACTGACTGACTAGATACCTTTTCCCATACCTTGCGCCGTCATCAACCTTCTGAGACGCTTCTGTTCATGCCTTTAATAACGCACCTCCCGCAATTATTTGAATGCCAAAGTCGTTAGTTGTCCGTGGAGTAATCGTTCGTAATGATCGCTAGGTCTGGGGATCTACGTCAAGAGTGAAAATTTTGTCGGCTCCTACACTGCTGCGTTGTTTTGCGCTGCCGCGAGCGTGCTTCTGTGGTATTCCTTCCAAGTTCCAAAGCCCCGATCTCGTAAGGCGGCAGTGACGTGATGTTGTTATTCAGGCTGCCCGTCTGACAGCTGTCGGGTGACATCTAATGTCCGTCCACTCGTCACGTTTTTTTTTTGTCTCGCAGATAGAAGAATATGATAGTCTACCGACCGTTGCGATAACGACGTCTGGCAGGCGTCAAAGTGGTCTTCATATCCGTGCTTGTCTGTTTATTCATTTGTTTATTTCAAACTCCTTTGGGGCCTGAGGGCATTGCAGAGGTACTAGATTACAATGTATAGAAAAAATAAAGTTCTAGGAATGCAAATAATTACCTGTTAATAAAATTATAAAATGCTGACACTGGTAATGCAGTAGGGGGTTTCGTGAAAGTGTGATTCGAGGTATGAATGAACTGTGAAAATGTCATAGTTTTACATGGTGGTATGCTGACCTTGCATCGGTGATCGAGACACAATGATGTGTAGAAAGGAGGTGTTAGCAGCTTATCACGCAAAGAAGGATTATGGTAGAAACATAAACAAGTTCTCTATGTCATAAGTTCTCAAGCTATGTTCCTAGGAACCCGGGGGGTTCCCCAGAGTGCCCTCATGAGTTCCCCAAATTCCCAAGTTTCCTCGACCATCCCTGCCCCTTAGCAAGTGTTTTTCTAGTCCAAGAGCTCACTGATGGATAACTATGAGCCAAGCACTCCCTAGTATGCACATTACTGTTTACAAGGTCTGTAGACTTCGGGTATGTGTTCCTTGGGGTCGAAAAGTTTGGAAACCCTTGCTCTACGTGATGCAAGGTTAGGCAAGTACAAAAGCTAGATGTCATAGATGTCAAGTTGTTGCGTCGATTCAAGTTCGGCACCTTCTCTTTCAAGGCGGAACTGTTCGGGAAATCCTCGCTGCCTTTCGGGGCTTGGAGAAAGAGCATGGATCCAGGACGTGAAGGACAGCGCCTGGCACGACATCGAGGATCCCAACTCTGAGAGGAGGACGGAGGTGATTGAGGGGCGTCAGAGAGCGATTGTGTTGTTGCAAGCGTGTTTTCACCGTGCAACACATGCCACCATTGCCATTGCAGGGCAGCTTTGTCGGCTTGAAGAACTTGGGAGCGACGTGCTACCTGAACAGTTTTCTGCAGGTACTCTTTCCTTTGTTCCTCGCTGCAAACGAGATCAAGCTGTCGAAATTGTGCTGCTCGGGCACCACCCTCTCAGTGATGTCCATTTTGCAATGTTTTTTGCATTAGAGTGCTTCTGAGAACTCCCTAAGGTACAGTCGGCGACAAAAGTCCCCAGGACGTGCGAGCTGCGACTGAAACGCATTGCTCTGCCATCTGCCTGCAAGTCGGCTGGTTTCGAGATCACAGAAAAGCGCATGCGTGTCCTACTGTGCCTGCCAACATGTGCGCTTTCCCGCTCTTCTGTAGTGCGGCGCCTAACTCGGAATCGGGCGCGTGGTACCGCCTCGGAGATAGCGCTTACTGACATGGCACCTATAAAGCAAGAAGTCACGGCAGCTCAAGTGAGCGATAAGCTGAACTGGTTATAAAGCAAGGTGCGCTGACACGGCGAAATACGGCGCAACGCTGCAGGCGGTATCTCCAGTTTCGGAATGTGTAGCAGATGCTCATCAGCCGCCAGCGCTATCTCTGAGGCGGTACCATGCGTCCAATTCCGAGTTAGGCGCTGTGCTGCAGAAGAGCGTGAAAATACACATGCTTGCAGGCAGAGTAGGACGCGCATGCGCTTTTGTGTGATCTCAAAACCAGGCAATCCACCGGCAGATGGCAGAGCAATGCGTTTCAGCCACAGCTCGCACGTCCTGGGGATTTGTCCCCGACTGTACATATATGCGCCAACTCATCTCTGTTACGTCGTTCCGTGACGGGGGTGCTTAGGATGCACTTCCGGTCTGGAGTGTGGGCAAAAGATTTATATATTTATTGAACCTAAAATGCCCCAAATAAGGGGTATTACATGAGGGTAGTACAAAACATCAAAACAAAATTTCTTCAATGAATGCCTTTAAACGGGCGGTGTTGGAGTTGAGCACGGCGTCGGTGGGCAAATCGTTCCAGTCCTTTGCTGTCTGGCAGAAAAATAAAAAAAGATGCAGGGTGCAGCGAGCATAGGGGGGACAGACAGCTTCCTGATGACTGATGCAACATGAAACGCGGTGAGCGGGTGCGATAACAGAGCTGCCAAGTGATGAGTGATTAAACTTGTGCAAAAGGCCGAGCCTGAAAATTTTGCGCTATGATTCGAGGTTAAGAAGATTAGCTTGAGATTTAAGTGCAGTGACACTGGTATGATAAGAGTAGTCTGAGTAGATGAATCTTTCTGCGCGATTTGGCACGGATTCGAGTGTTTTAGTAAGATTAGATTGATGTGGGTCCCAAACAGCAGATGCGTATTCTGGTTTGGGTCGGACTAATGAGAGGAAAGATAGTAGTTTTACCAATGGAGGAGCTAAGTGTAGGTTGCGAAGTAGAAAGCCAAGGACGCGATTTTCGTCATTACCTATGTTCGTCATGTAAGATGGCCAAGTTAAATCGCTTGAAAAGGTAATGCCTAGGCATTTATATGAACGTACTGGGCATATGAGTGAACCACAAATGACATAGATAGGAGATGGGTAAAATTACCTGCGATAAAAAGAAACAAGGAATTTTTTTGTTAGCATTCAAAGACATTAGCCATTTAGCACACCAGGCCTCAATATGGTGAAGATCAGACTGCAGGGCGTGAATGTCAGTGCTTTTATTTATAGGACGATAAACAACGCAATCGTCTGCGAATAAGCATATGTTAGATGGGATATTAGCGGGCAGGTCGTTTATATAAATTAAGAAAAAGTAAAGGACCGAGAACAGTGCTTTGGGGCACTCTAGAAGCAACCGGGGATCACGCGGAGAGTGCTTATTAGCATGAACAAATTGTTGTCAGTTTTACAAGAAGTTACGAATCCAGTTACAAACTTGAGGGTCAACGTTTAAACGCAAAATCTTTAATAAGAGACATTGGTGTGGAACTTTATCGGAAGCTTGCTTCCTTCTCCCCAGACCTCCTTTCCCTTGAATACTTTTCTTATCCTGTAACTAACTATAGTAGCAGCTTGCACCCGTGCTGGCCGAGCGCTCCTGCAGCATTTCCTTCTTTTGGCTTGTGGGCACACTCGGTCAGTGCGTGTGCAAGCTGCTACTAGCGGCAAGCTTTCTCGCGCCGCACGCATCGAGCGAGCAACGATGGTGGTAATAGCTTTCAGCGCACCAAGAGGTGCAATACCGAAGCTTGGGAAGCACCGAGGGAGGGATGTATACACATCGGAAGAGGCGACATGCCCTTGCCCCTAGTCTCACTTCCAGGTGGCGCAGCCTGTACCGAGAGCCACGCGCTCCTCTATTCATATTTTATTTTTCCCCGATGGTACATATATTCCATTCTTGGTAAACTTTCCTGCAAAATTTAGTGGAAACATTTTTCTGTAAATTTAGGCTGAAGGTCAAGCATAACAAAAATTTTTCGTTACTCATTTGTGGAGGGAAAGGAGGTAGACCAGGAATGTATTTTACATTAAAACTGGATGTCGTTGGGCCATGATCGCTTGTGCGGAAAGCACTTTGGTGTGAGTGAATTCACTGAGACTTGTTTTCGCAAGTTTTAGTTGTATTCTTGCAACTTGAACGTGGTAACTCCATCAAAACATCCAAACCACCCGGACTATTTTCTCAGCATCTTCGCATTTACACGATCATGGTGATGGTCAGTATGTTCTCCACACAGTTAATGCGATACGAAGTAACTGTAGGCCTCCAAAGACTCGTAAAATTGAAGGGTGTCTGTTGGGTGGCAATCACCGACTTGTTATGCGCACAGGTCTATTCTACTTGCGATTTTTATTTGCAATGTCAAGCACCGCAGGTTTCATTTATGCTTTTTTGCACCATGAGCGATATCGCAACTGAAATTTGTGATTGGAATCACATGTTGTGAATCGGGCTCTAGCATCCATTCTGTGGCATCCCTGCAGTGGAAACCACCATATGTCATACCATTCTTGTGAAGTTTAGTGGTGTAATGAGGCTCTCCTATTTCGCTATGGCCACTCAAATGGTCAGACATTGATGGGACGTTGCAGAATCAACGATTTCAACGCAAAGACGAATAGGCCAACAGTATCACATCCCAGTAGTTTGTTGATGGGGGATGTCACGCTTCTTGTCCACAACCCATCGTACATGTGCGGCGTCACTAGAGACGCACTGGTCTCTTCGTATGCATGAGTTGGTTTACAGTAGCTGGGGTTGCAAGCGCTGATACTTTTTAATGCAGAATTGCATTCTAACATATGTCGGGTAATGTGAGTCACGTCACTCACGTTACAAAATTGTGGTGCCTCATGACATCAAGGTGTCAACAACATTATTGGATCTATTGACACTGGGAGTCAAGTTGGGCTGTAACATGATGCCACGTGACACTCCAATTTTATGTCATTACGTCACATAACCATATCGTGCAATGCCACATCTTGTGATACTGTCATGTGATGTGACGTCGCTTGTCACCAGACTTGATGCCGTGACGTCGCACAATTAATTGATGTGCCAATAAAAGAAAAAACATGATGGAAACCCAGAATTTCTCATACATTGGAATTCTTCATTGTGATGGTTTGATTCATGTGTTTAAATATAGCTGTCAATCTTTTTTCCTTTTTTTCTTTCAAGGTGTGGTACCACAACCCGGTATTCCGGCAAGCCTTATACATGTGGGACCCCCTTCATGACCCTCAAGAAAAGGAGAAGCACCACGCACCCAACGGTCAGTTTAAGAAGCAACTGATGACACCGTCTTAGTTGCGGGGGCTATCTGCTGTTTCAAGGAAAAGCTTTAAAAGTCGAAGGGGGATCTGGATTGAATGCTGGAGAGGTGGTTCCACTGGGAATCGACTTTCTCCTCCAGCACAATGCACAATATTCTGTTTATCCACCCGTAATGAGGTAGTTTAATTTGGGCTGCAAGAACACCATGGAACACATTTATATAACTTGGACCGCTTTGTTATAAGTGACCTCTCGATTCTCAGACCTTGGAATGGCAGAAGCGATGTGTCTAGGCTAACGGTACAACTGCAACATAGAGTTACCGAGTATCCTAAATCCAGGTTATCCACCCTGCAAGATGCCCTGTTAGGAGATGCGAGTTTTGTTGCTGCGGCGTGTTTCAAGGCACTTTCTCGCGTTGCAGGAGATGTGGCGCCGCCCGAAGAAGGCGGCAACGCGGCCTCCAACTCTCCTGCTTCGGTGATTGGTCACCTGCAGCTCACATTCGCTCTGCTGCAATTCAGCAAAAGGAGGTAAGAACCAACATGAGCAAAGTGCAAACCCTCCTGATTGGTGGTCAGTTTTGTCTTTGGTGAAACAGTGACGGGCAGGAAGTAAAGCACCAGGGGAACATCTAGTTAGGGTCTCAGTACGGTTATTATTTGGGTTCGGGCTCAGTATTTCTGCATTTTGTTCCGGTTTGGTTCCAGTTCAATCGTGCACGAGAAATATTGTTTCGGTCACCGGTTCCACCAAGCACAAATGGGTTAACGTTGGCTCTTAATTCTACCTTAGATTGTGGCTGTCTGTATATGCACCAAACACAAAAAAAAGTTTACTGCTCCCAGTCACTAAGAAAAAGGAAATGAGCGTGTCCAACTCGGCATCATCTGCGTGAAAAACAGGGTGTCAAACCCTAACCGGAATTTAACCGGAACCGGAACTGAACTGCTTATTTTGCCCGAACCAACACAGAACCCGAGCCGAAGTGTTTGCGCCATTTTGGAGCTGAGCCCGAACTGGAGCAAAACAAAAGAACCGTTCCGAACCGTTTTGCCAAACGGATCGCGGGCATGCATTTGTGCTACTATTCCATGCGTTTTGCGTCCAAAGTTTTGAGAGGCTTAGTTAACGCTGCAGAGCAAAGTGTTTCCACTTATGGAAATATTTTTGTAAGCATATTTTACCAAGACAAAGGCCAATAACCACTGTTACTGACTGTCACAAAATCGGCCTGATCCACTCGAAGTCATATCGCCCACGCACCCGGCAAAAAGCCGCTGCCACGCGCCGACGGGATGACGCACGGAGCCGTCGCGGAAACAACGCTGCATCAAATTCGAGTTTACTAAGGTTCATCGACGCCATTTCATCGGAGCACGTTTTAGGGAATGGGCACTTTTTATCGAAGCTCAATATAAAGAAAGCGGAGCCTCAGTCTAGAGAAACGTCATTTATCGAAAAGGGGACACTGCTTAAAAATGGAACATGTGTTAACCTACCCGGCCCCCTGTTCGCCACTCTGCGGCAGCTCATTACAAAAATGTTAACTTGCCTGGTCCACCCGTGTACCTGCTTCGCAGCGGCCGAATTTACTAAAAGGAGGCTTATGGGCATTTTCTCTAAACTGGGTTTCTTTATAAAACGGGGGTCTCTAAACCGGCGTTCGCTGAAATGAGCTCCAATAAAATGGATGCCTTCGACCTTTTTGTACAGGCTCCGATGGCTCCATCTCAATATGGAGGGAGTTAAGACGACATTCAGAGATTTTATTAGGGCTGATAATGAGAGCGTTCTTGACATTTTGGATTTACATTACATAGACTGCGAGAAATTTGCTTTCTCAGAGGCTACAACAGCAGCAATCATGGGCTGCTTTTAAAATGCTTACACAGGCTGCAATAAAGAGCTTTGTTCCATTTAGAAAAAGAAAATGTCAAAACCCATGAATTGTTAGAAATATTACGCAATTGAAACACTGCATAAAACGACGAAGAGAGTGACTCAGTTACGAAAGGTCTCTCAAGCAGCATGCTGAAATAAAGGTGCTGTCCCAACAGTTTAAAAATGACGTACTAGATGCCAGAAAAACCCAAAAAAACTATGTTAACGTAGCACTTCAAAATTTTATTCTTGTTGCCAAAAAAAGGGTATCTCCAGCCTGAATATTGAAGAAGAAATTGTCACAGATGTAAGAAAAATGTGTACTTTGTTTAAGAATTATTTCCAGTCGGTCTTTTACGCATGGTAACGGAATTATTACCCGCTATGAACTTTGTAAGTCAGCTCTTCCTGGTATTGACAATGTACGCTTTGATCAAAGAGGTATATTTGATCTGCTTTTAAACTTAAATGTCAAAAAATCACCCGGACCTGATGGAGTGCCAGACATATTTTTAAACAAATATACGCTGAACGGTACTTTTTTACTTGGTAGCCGTATATGAAAAATCACTGTGTTGTGCAAGGCTTCCACGAGACTGGAAATCGGGAAAAATAATTCCCATGCCAAAGTCAGGAGAAGTAAAAAATATGCAAAATGATTGTCCAATTTCACTTACAAGTACCAGTTGTGAAATTCCTGTACACGTCCTTGCCAAACACATAACATGCATTCAGAATAATGACCTCATAGGAAGTCACCAATATTTAGACGAGGGTGCTGTACTGTTACGCAATCGATAGAGGTGACTCATGATTTCAGTTTATGTATTGGCAGTAGTGGGAAAGTAGATCTTGTTTTCTTGGATTTTTGCTAAGGCCTTTGACTCCATGTCACATCCAAAGCTGCTTCGTAAACTCAAGTATACACTTAACAATGATTCATATTTTAACATGGCTTGAAGCTTATCTTATTGGCAGAAAACAGTTTGTCCAATTAAATAATGTAACATCAGACGACCTATCAGTAATGCCAGGAGTACCTCAAGGATCTGTCCTAAAGCCAGTACTGTTCATTTTGTACATCTCGGACTTGAGTTGGGGATTTGTAATATAAGTCAAAACAAAACATTTTGCTGATTATACAATTATAAATTAAAGAGGCTGGAGGTACACCTAAGCACTTCTTATGAGTTGTGAATGCGAAAGCAAGGGAAGCCGCTCGTCCGCTCCCTTATTTCATCTGCTGCCTACTTTTCGTCGCCGGTCAGCGTGTGTGCTCTCCTGGGCGCGCTGACGAACACGCAGTGCCATGAGGTGAGCAGTTGTTGAAACTGACGTGCAGCGGCCAATAGGAGCCTCACCAACTGGCGCCAGCCATTGGGATCGAAGCCAAAAATTCATCAGCTTTACTCTGCTCTTTTGGGATCAACGAAACTAGGTGCTGTTGTCTAGGCTTTTCGCATGGTTTCATAGCTGGGATCAGGCTTCACTTGGAGAAAGGATTTAAGGTGCCGTTTTTGCGCTTCAAACTGATGACGTCTGCTCACTCCATGTGAAAGTTAATGCTTTCGCATTAAAAATATAAACATCTGATGATCAGAAGAAATTAAATGAGCGTTTACATAAATTGACTAGCTGGTGCAACGATTGGCAAATGGGAATCAACAAAAACAGAAATGTTTACATGAATGTAATGTGGAAAGCAATACCAGCACAATTCAAATACAGTATAGGGGGTATGCATTTAAAAAGTGTCCAGGATTTTAAATATGTGGGTGTCCTTTTAAAATCAAACCTAAACTTTAATTCACATTTAGAAAATGTTTGCAATGAAGCATTAGGAAATAAAATATGGACACTCAGATGGCTATTAGCATTCGCTACTCCAGAGCTAAAATTAACTACATATAAAGCACTAATCTTACCAACACTCAAATATGCAAACCCAGTCTAAAAGCCATTCATGAAAAAAAAAAAAGAAGAAATCTATAAAGTTCAAGCATTTAAAGGAGAGCAGTTTGTTTCATTTTTCATCGCTACATGTCTACAGAGTCCGTCTCCCAACTGAAATTCACTGCAAACCTCCTCCCTATTATCACTAGAATAATGTTGAGCTGGATGAAATTGTTCTTTAACTTGCTACATGGTCAACATGTTATGAATATTCACAAATATGTAAGCTACGAAAACCTTCATTGTGCGATAGAACCCAACACACCAAGTATGTTACCCCTTATCACTTTTGCAAAGACCATTTTAAGAACTCTTTCTTTGTTAAATCCATTGATCACTGGAACTGCCTGCAAACAAACTGTAAATAGTGTGAATGTCTCTGATTTTATAGATTCTTTGTTATTCTATGTGTGATGCTATGCCAATCTGTGTGATTGTAAGTGTTTGAGGGTGCTATTATACTCTCTGGCAGGGATGGGCAGTATTTCAAATACAAGTATTTGGAATATGTATTTCAAATACTTTGTGTATTTTGCATTTGTATTTGATTACAAATTGGATAATGTATTTGACGTGTGTATTTAAATACTAAAATGCGGGTATTTCAAATACAATTGTAATTAAATACAATTTTGTGGGCGAAAATACATTCCTCAAACTTATTGTCACGATTCATTTTTCTCACCCTAAAACGTGTCCAAAGCTGCTCTTTCTTCATCTCAATGCCAACGGCAACAGCAAACCACCAAAACTCTTCATCTCTTCATACACAAGGAGGTTATCCTCCTTGTTCATACACCAGTCCTGCGGCAGTTCGCGTGTCGCTCACCGCGGCACTTGCCTCTATCACATTTTCCAAATACTAATGTATTTGGAAAATGTGATTGTCAAAGTTGCAATTCTTGTTTTTATGCATGTGGTTGTAAGGTATAGTCTCCATCCTTTATTCGGCCATAGGGCTTTTTTTTTCTCCTCCGGCTTTATATTAAAGGCACTGTCCAGAGCAGGTTCTGCACCGAATGCAGTGTCTCTCAATCAATCAAGCACAAGCGTTTAGTGACTTTGTGATTGCGGTGCTAGTCCAGGGCAAGAATAGTGACGAAATCGACGTTCACAGGCAGGCTGGCTAAATAAGTGCCTGTGACAACTTGTGATGCTTTCCAGCCTGATTTCCATTCATATTTTTGCCTGGAACATTCTAAATGCGCAAGTCGTCCAGATTTTCGTAACTGGTGCGAGTTGCAACAAAAAAAAATTCTGTAGCTAGTGCTGCGCGTCTTGGTCGTCTCGGTTGCTTGTTGGTCTATACCAAAATGTAATCGACAAAAAAAGCTGCTTGAAGCTCTGTACTTTTTTCACCTATTACGTCCAAGCTGATTACAATTTTTGTGATTATATTTCTATTACGTTACTAGAGCCTCGCACACTAACTCCCGAGTGTGCGATGTAAAATTAAAATGAGATACCCGGAAACCCGTTGCAGGTGCCCTGAAGTCGCTGACGCAAATTTTGAGGAATGTATTTGGAAAAGTATTTGGAGGAGACCAAATACATTTGGTTGTAATTGTATCTTGTACTTAAATGCTTTTTTTGGAAATGTAATTAGATTTGTAAGTAAATACATTATTGACGAAGTATTTTGTATTTGTATTTCGATACATATTTGCATGTATTTTGCCCATCCCTGCTCTCTGGT